TAAAACTAAACATTGTAAAATAAATCAAGTAAAGGACTAAAATACCCCCTTTTAAAAAAGTTCTTAACGTTTTTAACGTTTATTTATTTTTGAGAGACAGAGCACAAGCAGGCGAGGGGCAGAGTGAAAGGGAGACATAGATTCTGAAGCAGTTCCAGGCTCTGAACTGTCAGCACAGAGGCCAACATGGGGATCATCCCATGACCCATGAGTTCATGAGTCAACCCTTAACCAACTGAGCTACACAGGCACCCCTAAAAACCCCTTTTTTCAAATGAATGTCTGATCACTACAATAATACCATATGGTAGACTATGCTCTGTCACACTGGTGGACAAGTGATATTGAAACTCTTTAGAATGCAGCCCTCTCTGGGGAGTGATGGAGGCAATGAGGGGGAATGGGCCCAGCAAGGTTTGGCAAATGTTCAGTAAGACCATTCCCGAGAGAGATGAAGAAGAAGACACAGAAGAGAAGCTTAAGCCATCCCTAATTCCCATGTCCTTGAGCTGTCTCCTGGAAATTTTTAATTGGCAGAATTGATTGCTTCATGTTGATTTGTTTTAATACCATAGGGAAAAATAATCACCCTTTTAAACAGGAGCAACAATTTCCTTCATGCATTTTTGAAGGCACATTGGTTTTCCTACTTCTGTATAGGTAAGGCTGTCTATTTTGCATGTTAGGAATGGGTCAAGGTGTTTCTGTGTATACTCGGAATCCAATTTCTTATTTGGTAGGAATCGATGTGCAGTTGGAATGGGTAAATGGTTACCTAGACAAAAACCAGAGCCACTCCTATAACAAATACCAATGCTCATAATTTGGGTAGTTTTATTCTTCTAAATATTAAACAAAGGGAAGGTAGATGTTAAGAATTTCTTTTGATAGTCTATATATCTCACACATAGTCAGATATTTACATACATTGTATGTTTTAAAATCTTCAGAACAAAATCATGCAGCAACATTTTAAATGTGAGAAAACTGAGGCTGATATAGGTCAAGACGTCTGTAATCACCGAGCTGGTAGGCAGCACACTTGCAATTTTTCAAATCGAATTTGCCCAGTTGCCAAACCTGTGAGATGAACGCCGGTATTAAGGATACTGGAAACATTTGAGCACAAAATAATTTTTAAAGTTTTGCAAAGCATACAGATAGTTTAGTACATTATTTTTAAGAAAGACGAAAGGGAAGAAAAGGGCATGAACACATAGAAGGCGCAACATGAGGTTTCAGTGCTCTCATCTCTAGTAGGAGATGAGAAAAAAACCATGACACACTCCATACATATCCTAAATAACCATTTTTGGAAGGATGATGGTTCCTATCATACAGAAAGGTTTTTAGTTTTTCAAAACATCTTAATGTGTTCACTAGGCAACAGTTGATCTAGGGCTGAGCTAGAGGACAGGAGCCAGCAAAAGGTGAACTGCTCAGGATAATATGGAGTTCTTGAGGTCATTCCAGAATATAAGCGTTAGAGCCGAGAAATTTTAATGAGGAATAAAAAACAAAAGCAAAAACAAAAAATGAAAGAACAGAGATATGTTATGAGGCTAGGGATTAAGTGTGTAAATCTCTGGAAAAATCCTCTGTGGTTACATGAGGAGAATTTAAGGAATGAATATGACTAATAGTTAGATTTCATTTTTAAACCAGTTTTGTTTTAAGTACCTTTCACCTGCAGTACCTAGAGTTTCAGTGTGTGTGTGTGTGTGCGCCCGCGCGTGCGTGTGCTTGTGTGTGCACACGCGCACATGTGAGAACATAGAATGGATGGGAAAAAAGGCTTCCGGCATATTTACAAGGTCTCAAGAGGCTAATACTGTGATTATTTAAATACTGTCATCACAATTTTTAAGTCATAACATTGTCTTTGGGTGTAACCTCTGAGGGATTATATAAATTCTAATAATTATCACCTGATAGTTTTATCTTATGTAGATAAAACTTTCTTTTTTTCAAGAGGAAACTTGTTGATTGAGTGGGAAATAAATGCACGATTACATATATCTTTGCTTGGGGATCTATATTTCTCTTTGTTATAGCTTAATACCAGATATTTTTTAAGATGAAGGGATAATTTTCTAAAGAATTTGGATCAAACTAGTAATGATTGATATTCCATCTCCTAACGGGTTTGTGTTTGTCACAGATTTAAAAAAAATGTTTTTTAGTGTTTCTTTAATTTTGAGAGAAAGAGAGGGTGAGCGTGTGCGCGCATGTGTAAGAGAGGGGCAGAGAGAGAGGGAGACACAGAGTCAGAAGCAGGCTCCAGGCTCTGAGCTGCCAGCACAGAGCCTGAATGGGGCTCAGATCCATGAACTGTGAGATCATGACCTGGGCTGAAGTTGGTGACTTAACTGACTGAGCCACCCAGGTGCCCCATGTGTTTGTCACAGATTTTAACTGTTTGGTCCACCAAGAATATTGATTCTAGACTGCCTGTATTTTGAAAACCTGTAAGAAAGAAGCAATGGCCAATGCAAGTCTGAAGCCCAGGATGAGTCCTACAGAGACCTATAGTAACCCTGGAAGTTTATATTAGTTATGAATCGTTTATGAAGAAATGATTTCATTTCTTGCAAGAGCAAAACAAAATAATAAAGTAGAAATTTAATTCTCTTTCATATAAAACTCTGAGCTGGTATGTCAGTTCAGCTCTGCCATGATTTTAGTCATTGTGACATTTCTGTCATCTCATCCATATGATCCAGGGTAGCTCAGCACTATGGCCTCCCAGCTGCCAATGGGAGGCAGAAAGGAGGAAGGAAAGGGCAAGCCTATGGTAGAAAGGGATGGATAAAAATTGCATACTTCTCTTTCATCACATTCTCTTCCCTAGAACCTACTCTTTGGAGGTAGAAAATCTAGACTGAGAATAAAAAAAGAGAAAGGAAGTTTTGCCAGTTTTTTGTTTGTTTTGGTTTTATTTTTGTTTTTTAGCACTGTTGCATAAAGACCAACCATAGTTCCTAGGAGCAAGCACTAAAATGGCTATGTGTGAGATACTGCTTCCATCCAGTCTGTCTCAAAACTGTCTGTGGCTCTATGCTATCATTTTTTTTCAAATAGTTTATTGTCAAGTTGGTTTCCATACAACATCCAGTGCTCATCTCCTTAAGTGCCCTCCTCCATGTCCATCTCTCCCTCCTCCCCCCCACACACTCATCAGTCCTCAGTTTGTTCTCAGCATTCAAGAGTCTCTCATGGTTTGCTCTCTCCCTCTCCCCCACTATTTCCCCCCTTCTTCTCCCCCACGATCCTCTGTTAAGTTCCTCCTAATCCTCCTATACGTGCAAACATATGGTAGATGTCCCTCTCCGCCGGACTTATTTCGCTCAGCATAACACCCTCAAGTTCCATCCATGTTGCTACACATGGCCAGATTTCATTCTTTCTCATTGCCATGTAGTATTCCATCGTATAGATAAACCACATTTTCTTGATCCATTCATTCGTTGATGGGCACTTTAGGCTATCATTTTTTAAATATAGTTTATTGTCAAGTTGATTTCCATATAACATCCAATGCTCATCCAAACAAATGCTCTCCTCCATGCCTGTCACCTATTTCCCCCTTTCCCCCATTCCTCATCAACCTCCAGTTTGTTCTCAGTATTTAAGAATCTCTTATGGTTTGCCCCCCTCCCTCTCCTCAACTGTTTTTTCCCCTTCCCCATTCCCCATGGTCTTCTGTTAAGTTTCTCCTGAACCACATATGAGTGAAAACATATGGCATCTGTCTTTCTCTGCCTGACTAATTTCACTTAGCATAACACCCTCAAGTTCCATTCACATTGCTACAAATGGCCAGATTTCATTCTTTCTCATTGCCATGTAGTATTCCATTGTATAGATAAACCACATCTTCTTGATCCATTCATCAGTTGGTGACATATAGGCTGTTTCCATGTTTTGGCTATTGTTGAGAGTGCTGCTGTGAACATTGGGGTACACATGCCCTTATGCATCAGCACCCCTGTATCCCTTGTGTAAATTCCTAGCAGTGCTATTCCAGGGTCATTAAGGAGTTCTGTTGTTAATTTTTTGAGGAATCTCCACACTGTTTTCCAGTTTAGCCTATCATTTTGCTCTTCTGTCTGTTTTCTCAAATGTAGACAAACATAATGGTCCAAGTCATTCTCTGGTCTAATTCATATTTGATGGACTGAAAAAAGCTTCTACAAACATTGAATTGACTGGAAAAACCTTAAAAGACTTTTGAAAGCTTTCCTGTGCACTATATTATATATAATATAATAACATTATATTATATATATATATATATATATTATATTTTACATGGTAAAAATTTTACAATCACTCAACTTTTGAAAGCTTTACCTTTTCTTCCATTTTCCCCCAAACTACTGTCTAGTCATTCTAAAATAGAAGTATTGAGTTCTTATATCTTACAAAGAATGAATGAAGATGCATATATGAATTTATCCCTTAGTTTCCTTTTACAAAGGAGCGAAGGAGTTAATGTGGCAGGGTCAGGAAGAAATAATTGTAACCAGAAAAGAACTTATGGTACAAAGTTCTCAACCAGTATTTATATTATTGCATAAATTCATTTAGTTAAGTGGTAGATATTTATTGGCACTGACAAGCAAAATCTGGGATAAAAAAATGATGTGAAGTTAAGTAAAATATTGAAAATAGACAAAATAGAAATGCAGATGAATAAGAAATGTCTTGACATAAACCAAAATGGTAAATGGACAAAGAGAAATAAGAGGAATATTTATCAAAGAAAAAGACTTGAGCCCACTAGTGACTGGGACCCCAAGGTATAAGTGTGTTTTCTAACACTTACTTGGATACTTTCCCATTAAACCACTATTTCTAGTGTCTCTTGAGACAAAAAGTCATAGAAAGGGAAAGAAAAAACATGTAAAAAACTCAAAATGATGATGTAAGAAAATATTATTTTTTACCTTAAAAAAACTTCTGCACTGTTCTAAAGTTCTCATGTCCCCTTGAAGGAAATTATGAGAAGAAATTTCACCGCAGTGAGTGAGTTCATTCTCCTTGGATTGACCAGTCGCCTGGAATTGCAGATTCTCCTCTTTGTGCTGTTTCTGGCTATTTACGTGGTCACAGTCGCAGGGAATCTTGGCATGATTGTAGTCATCCAGGTCCATGCCCGGCTGCACAAACCCATGTACTTTTTCTTGAGCCACTTATCCTTTGTGGATCTGTGCTTCTCTTCCAACGTGACCCCAAAGATGCTGGAGAGTCTCTTGTCAGAGAAGAAAACCATTTCTTATCCTGCGTGTCTAGTGCAGTGTTACTTTTTCATTGCCTTGGTCAGCGTGGAGATCTACATCCTGGCTGTGATGGCCTTTGATCGGTACATGGCCATCTGCAACCCTCTGCTTTATGGCAGCAAGATGTCCAAGAGTGTGTGCACATCCCTCATCACGGGCCCTTATGTGTACGGAGCACTCACCGGCCTCATGGAAACCATGCGGACTTACAACCTAGCCTTCTGTGGCCCCAATGAAATTAACCACTTCTACTGTGCTGACCCACCACTCATTAAGCTGGCTTGTTCTGACACTTACAACAAAGAGCTGTCCATGTTCGTTGTGGCTGGATGTAACCTTTCCTTTTCTCTCCTCATCATCCTGATTTCCTACCTTTATATTTTTCCTGCTATCCTGAGGATTCGTTCCACAGAAGGCAGGCACAAAGCTTTCTCTACGTGTGGCTCCCATCTGACAGCTGTCACCATCTTCTATGCAACTCTTTTCTTCATGTATCTCAGGCCCCCTTCAGAAGAGTCTGTGGAAGAGGGGAAAATGGTTGCTGTATTTTACACAACGATAATTCCCATGTTGAACCCCATGATTTATAGCCTTAGGAATAAAGATGTGAAAGAAGCATTAACCAAAGAGTTGATCAGGAAGAAAAGATTTTCTTAAAAGCTAGAACTATTCTTTTGGGTTGCAATCTTTTCCTAAACTGCTTTTTCTGAAGTTGCAGGAAGTAACTGATGATGAAATGAGAAATATGGTACAGTAAAAGGGGAATATTGCATTTTCAAAAGTTTTAATAATTAAAAAAAATATAAGCAAAAAAGTAAAATTTTCATTGCAGAAGTTTGTGTGTTTATGTTTGCCATTCATTTTGCTTAGTAGTTATATAAATTTCTTTGCCTTTTGTGCACATGATAGCATTACATGTTTTCTGGTTTGGGCTTGAGTAGAAAAGTGTGACTATTCTGGACAGTGATTTTTATTAGAATTCATTGGATTTCATGTGTGTCACTTCTCAGTTGAGCATTTAATTGTGAGAAATCTCTTAAGTGTTTGTTGTTTTGTTTTGTTTTGTTCTTGTTCTGGTAACCAGCAGTATTTAAAATTTAAGATTTAAGCATGGGTTCTTGAGAGAGGAAACATGGAACGTGCCCTTCACCAATTCACAACGGAAATATAGAATGGATGCGAAGTGCCCTTTGTTTTACTACATTATGTCGAATTGCTTATTACCATGTCAGCAAGAGCCTCTTCTGAATGATACAATATTAACTATACAAATTTCAAACAAGTGAATGTATAGAATAGAAATTAGATCCCACAACTCTAACGAAATCATATCTGAGATTTTATTTATCTAGGATTTTATGTTTTTACATATGTGCATGCTTGTAATTAAATTTACTTATTGTAATTATTATTTAAAATCACTAATATAAAGCGTATATGCTGTTTTAAAAGTCAAATAATATTATAGGGTTATATAATTTCCTGTCTTACTTCTACCCCTGCCTGTCTCCCCATAGATAGCACCTTCTTGTTATTTTTAATTTTTTTGGTAATTAACTCGTTTTAAACTATATGCTTACATGTCTATTTTTATTGATTTTTTGAACACGCATACAATTCATTGGCATCTCTTTACTAAAGATAAAGTATTACAATTCTTCCGCCAAATCCTACACCCCTATCAGTTCTTTCTCCTCATCTTTATAGTAGGGTCACATTTTAATTTTTCTTAAATTGATACCATTATTGTTAAAATAACTACAAATACTTTATTAGTAATTCCTGAATAATAAGATGAGTAACACTCTGAACATTACTAACACTAATTACCAGCACTATGAGTAATATTATGAATACAATTCTCACTACTTGCTGGATTTTTGTTTTTGTATTTACATTTCCCCAAACTTCCACAGAACTATAAAGCACCTCTTAGACAAATCGGTAACTGATCTATAATTTACACATATTCTTCCTGGAAGCTTTATGTCCCTTTATTGGATTCTGTACTGGTGTCTCTCTACACATGTTGCAGAACTGTTATCTGGAGACTGTGGTTGCTACTCTTGGTTTAAAATGTTTCATTCATTCAACTTATGCTGATTACTGGACCATATGCTACAAACTAGAGATTCAGCAATACACAAGGCAGAAAAAGTCCTTTATTATGTTTTTGAGGTAGGGTATTTTGTTAGCAAAGCGTCCACACGAACATAATCAAATAGTTCAAGTATTAGTACGTGTTATGAGGAAGGGAAAGCAAGGCAATGGGGAAGCCAATGACCTGGGAGCATCAGAAGTGAGGGCGGTGCTGATGTGTCAATTTCAGCTGCTGGGAAAGACCTCTTGGAGAAGGTGACATATTGAATCAAAGCCTAATTGATCAGAAGAAGGCAAACACAAATAAATCTTTGGGAACTACCACGGGGGAGTCACTAGCAAGTACAGAATTTCAGGATGAAGGCTGGCATGTTGAAGTATCAGAAGGAAAAGCCATGTGGTTGAAACTTAATAAATGGGTGAAGCAGTAGGAGGGTTGATGCTAGAACAGCAGCCCCTTATTTATTGGATGGCACAGTGGACTCCCATAGTTGACAGCAAACAGACTGCAGCACTTTGGTTTTGTGTCCAAGTTTTGGGCTGTCAAGTGATATGTGGCCAATAATCCCTCAGGTCAGGCAGAATGAGAAGTAGTAGTTTGGTTCATCAAGTTTTTATTTTGTTTTGCTTTAAATTATTGTGGTTTTGAGTAAGCAAAGACCATTTTATGGAACACTTAATGGACTTTTCTGCTTCCAGCCCCAAATTTCCTCCACATTTCCTCTACCCTTATAATTTAAGACTTAGCTAAAGTATTGCCTCCTCTAGCAATTCTTCCCTAATACATTCAGGCTGTGTAGGTACCACATTACAGTTCCACCATGAGTTTACAATTCTACCAGCACAATTATGACAAGGTCCTATAACCATATGCCTAGTGTACACCTGTTTCTTCCACTATTCTAGGAAGTTCTTAAAGGAAGAGGCCATGTTCTTTCATCTTCATATCTTTCCTACCTTAGCAAAGTGTCTGATAAAGAGATGATGCCCAAGTCATGTTTTTGAAAGAGTAAATGTTTTTCCACTCCTTTCTGCCTTCCCCTTTCTCTCTGGTTAATTATAGATTTTTCTCTGTGATACTTTCTTCTCCTCCCATCCTATCCTTTAATAATAGATGATTACTTTGGTTTAGTAAAATCGTATTCATATTCTTCATCATAAATGCCCTGTTACAAACCAATTGGGAGGAATTCTTTCAGAGCAGAAATTTAAGACTGTAAATTTACTGGCATCAGACAGGAATGATCAAACATAACATGTCCATTTTCATTCAATAGAGACAAATAAAAGTGAATGCTACATCACAATGAAAGGACTTAAGGGAATTAATTCTGAGCAATCTGGGTAACAATGTCTTTTCCTTGGGATCCACTCATAATTATACATTACATTTGTGGAACTACTTATAGACAGAAGAGTCTTCACTTCTGCTCAGGCACGGAACATGTTGGCTGAGAGTCACAACAGGCAATTACTCAGACCAGAAAAGTTCCAAACCTGGAAAAAAATATACTCTCTTCATACTCTTTACACCCTTGAGCTCACCAAGAAAGCCCTGATTATTGACTCAGGGCAGAAATTGAGACATTTTTTTTTTCGTAGTGTAAATCACAGTTTTGTACACTGCTTTTTCATCACCAACCAACCCAAGATTCGTACTGCCTGTGAAAGTATTGTCTTCTTTTTTTTTTTGTCTGAAAAAGTATCTCCCGCATTGAGACAGGAAAAGGCTTGATTTGGAAGTTATTGTGTCCTGAGTGTAACCTCAGCTTTATTATTTATTTTTTAGTTGAGTATACTTGAGGGATAAGTTTATTCTACTGCAATATGTGATCAGTGACACCCATCTCATGGATTAACAAATAATATCTATCAGGTGCCTTTTTCTCAGTTAAATTTGAGGCAAGTGTGTTCTGTATTCAATTTTAGACTCACTGCTAGGAAACTTTTCCAACCATGAGAGGCATTATAGAAACAATAAATTAAGTGTGTTATCAAGTCATTTGGATGTTTGACATATACTCATTGGTTTTGTCTATGTCAGACACTGTTTTTGTCATTGATAGTTATTAGTGTCTTCTGAATCTCATATTTCAGGAGTTTCCTTCTGGAAATTTATCATTTATACCTAGTATTATTTATTTCCATATCTTAAGCATCCCAATGTGTAAACTCCTAGGGGAAAGATACAGTTTTCATATTTGTATTCTGGAGAGTAAACATCATGAACTTTGCACTTAGTACCTATTTTGTGTGAATGTTTCAAAGAACAACGTCAGAAATATTTTTGACATTTTGAAATTATGAAAATAATTACTTGAGTACAGTCTCATGAGAAGTTTTGTTCCCAGGGTATTAGATTTGACCTTCAGTATTGCCTAAAGTATTGCCCTGGAATTCATTGCAACAACTGGTTTGAACGCCAGTGAAGTAACACATATGGATTTAAAAAGTCTTATTTTGAGAAAGTATAGTGCTATTCATTAGTATTTCTCCCTCTGAGAATGTTCTCCACTGGCATTCCACTTCTAATTGACTCTTTTAGAAACATTTGGGGATTCTTCTGAGATAAATGCTGATGTCAGTAACTTGGACAAAACATAAATCCTGTAGCACTGGCCAGAATTTGACCTTTGTGGCTATTAAGAAGACACTCTTCTTTTCACAGTAGGAGAGGAACTGTGTTGCATATTCATTTCCCATATTTATTCATTTATGTGTTCTCTTCATTAATTGCATACTTTTTAGATACTGATGTGTTGAAATAGGCGTTTTAGAGGAAATGTGCACAATAAATGCATTTTCCATGACAGAAAAAAATCTATAGGATGCTCACCGAACTCTTGTCTTTTATCATATTACCAGTGTCTTCGAGTCATTCTGGTAGAATTCCATAATCTGAACCTCCAACAGATGTTTCACTATAATTGATCTCAAATAATATTCTTCTGTGTTTTCCATTTACCTCATGCCTTGGCGTCTACTGTCCCAAATTTCCACATAAAGAAAGACAAATTGGAAATTTAGCTCTATGTTGTTTTTTCTTAAGGTTTTTTTTTTTTTTTTTTTTTTTAATTTGAGAGAGAGACAAAAAGAGAAAGAGACAGAGAGAGAATCCCAAGCAGGTTTCATGCTATCAGCACAGAGTGTAAGGTAGTCTTGATCTCATGATCTATGAGATCATGACCTGAGCCTAAATCAAGAGTCAGATGCTTAACTTACTTAGCCACTCAAGAACTCCAGAAATTTAGCTCCATGTAGTTTATTCATGGTTAAAATTTTTCTTATATCTAAGAAGTAAAGTATGGGCTCAAACAGGATTTTCCTTGTGACTGTTGGACACAGAGAGAAGTTAGAATCGGTATATGTTGCTAATGGGTTTAGACTAGAAGATCTTTAAGTCCTTTAAGTTCTCTTACTTATAATAGTGTGGATTCTTTTTCTATGCCCCGTTTCCATATAGGATCTGTTTTTCTTAAGCAATGCTTGTACTCCAGGGAAACTAGTTTTTTTTTTTTAATTTTTAATGTTTTATTTATTTTTGAGAAAGGGAGAGA